ATTCTTTCCTTTTTTATTATCTGCACGAGGAGGGTGCCTTTAAAATATATTTTTCACATCAGTGGTTAACAAACTGACCTTCTCTGCTACCAAACTTAAATTCTAATGCAAGTGCATTCACACAGGCTAGCAATTCTCAACTGAGTTACTGAGATTTTACTTTAGGAAAACAAAGTATAGATCACGTACATTTCTGCCTGCTTTGGTGTCTATCACACACACACACACACACACACACACACACAATAAAAAAAATTAGTCATGAATGTGGTTCAAAGGCATTCATGGGGAGACTTGAATTTTCTTCTATAAAACCACATGTCTATCATATTAAATTATTAACAAATAACTAAAAGAAAATTACATTTGGTTTAGAATCCATTTGAAGTCAGTGGGTAAGCTGGATTCTGTAATTACAGGGAAGTGAGTGTCCAGTGATGTTCTGTGGAACATATAGAGAACAGGGCATGCCTGGAGTTGAGAGTTGAGAGTTGCAGGATTAAAACTGTGTTGAAGATAGCACTTAGTAATCACAATCATTCAAGAAATGCTAGGCACTGCTGTGTACTTGGTGTTGGCAGGGAAGGAGCAGCAAGTGGACAAGGTTATATTTGTTGTCAGGTGTGAGAATTTACATACACCAGAGGACACATATACCTTGGCAGACCCTAGCCTTCCCAGACCATCAGCCTAAAACGTGTAACTTAGCACACACAGGTAAAACCAGCCTCAGTCCTGAGGCTACAGGGCTGGCAAGACTGAGCCACAAAGATGCTGTCGACTTTCCTCCTCATTAGAAGACACTTCCAGTTGCCTTCAGATACACCTGGTGCCCACCCCTTCTCTGACCAAAATCTGGTCTGCTTTTGCTTTCATTGCTGCAAAGAATCTGTGTTACAAACTCAATTCTACAGGGAATATACTTCTAGACTTCAAGTGAGCGCAGAAAGGAGGAAAGGAAGGAGAGGGAGGAAAGAAGGAAAGGAGAGAGGAGGGAGGAAGGGAGGGAGGACAAAAAGAAGTTCGGCTCACCTTATGAAAATTTTAGCATATATTCTTCTGTGTCTCTTTGGATAGTGAAGAGACAGAATTCACAAACAATGGTCACTGTCACCCACAAAGAGAAGAAAAATGCCCAAATCTCTCACCTCTAAACTCCACAAGGAGCAACAGCTGTGTGGATTCTTAGGAAGCCTCCTCCTTTTGTGCTTCTCACTGCTATTTAAAACTCACAGGTTGCCTACAAGAATCACCCTGTTCAGAAAAGAACTAACCAAGCCAGCACTCAGGGAGTGGTAGATGTTCATTTCATAATTATTTTTATTCTGGACTTCGTCAAGTATGCAAATGATCATGGCACCCTTTGCCCTCTTAATCAGAAGTTTGCTTCCTCATGATAAAAAAAAGATAAGCCATTTACTACATGGCTCCTAACCTTTTCACAGAGTTCTGTCAACGTTTGAGCTGTCACCTCACCCTATCTCATAAGATACTATCCCATGTCAGCCCCACCCAGTACCCACAATTCAGCAACAGCCTTAATGGGCCATATATAAAAAACAGTCTACAGTGAGCACGCCTTCACCCATGCCCTCAATAAAATTTCACGGGTCCAAGTTGCTGCTGCGTACAACCAGGGCTTCCTAGCATCCTAAGTGAGAGTTTCTTGCTTGAGAACATCCTTTATTAACATGGCCTTAAACAAAAACAATGCCTAAAGAAAAATAATTGAGACAGATGATAAATATGCACTATCCAAGTAATTAATCAATAAAACCTTCAAAACTCCAAGCTCAATGAGAGCCTTATAAGATCATTGTAGTCCTTCATTTACCCATGTGAGGCAAAGAAACCCTCTATGTTCATGAGCAAAGCTGTTCCGGTCACCTGGAAGCCTTCTGATCTCAAATCCACTCTGAAGTCCCTTAATCCGAAATGTCAGAAATTTAATTCTGAGGCCTAAGTGGCATTAATGTGGAGTCAAATTACTTCTGATTCAATCCAGATTTTTTTTTCCTGTAAACTAGGCTTCAGTGTTGGCAAGGACCACATCACATTTCCCTTTAAGTTAAAGAAAAATGTATTGTCGATATTTTTAATAGTCCTGCTTTCATTCAAAAAGTTCTCTCCTGCACCCGTCAGCACATAACTCACCTTATTCTAATGATCTCCAAATTTCTATATAAACTAAGGGTCATTCAGTGGCCTGTGTTTTCCCATTTACTCTTAGAGCAAGTTTAAACCCAGAAATATTTATTTCTGATGAGCAAAAAAGTTAAGTGAGCACAAGGAGAAGATGCTTTCATCCAGTCCACTACATAAACTCAAAGTGCCATCCATCTGAGCAATCAACTACATTTCAGAAACAAGCCAACTACTCACACCATATGGTGACCAATACTCCTAAGGAACACCTAACCAAATATCCCCAAGGTAACCCCAAAAATAAAACCATACTATATAATAGGGACAGCCTTTCAACCTCAAACTTATCCTGCCAGGATAATGGGTAGGTCTGAATTTAAACGGGAGACGTGTAAATTTCCATTTAGAGTGCCGAATCAGCTTTCCCAATCCCCTTCAACAAGTGTCAAACCTGGTGGAGAAAACTGAGCAGAAAAGACCTCAGTACAACTTGTGTAAAATTTGGGGATGGTTCTCCTATACTAGGCAGGGTAACTATACCATGACACTAACGAAATTTTCAACCCCCTCCTCCAAATAAGAACTACACTTACCCTTCTAATTCACCCCCACCCCCAAGATACATACAAAGAGCAATCTTAGGCGTCTGGATCAATAGTTCTTGCAAACCCGCCCCCTTGAATTTCTGTCCACTTAGGTGTATAAGTTTCCATGGGAAAGGTCACTTTTCTGGGTGAACAACAAAAGCATAGCTTCCAATCCTGTACCATTCTAAAGTTCACACATAGCCCTCAAGTGTAAAACTTAAGTTCAGAGTTCAACTCACAAGAGTGTGTAACAACTAAAGTATATCTAAAACTAGAGTGGCTGCCAACAGATGCGATCTCTCTAAAGGAGACTCACTGCAGAAAGAAAGCCTTGCCTTCAATGATGCCTTGCTTGGCTACTGAAACTTTTTTTAGTGGCTTTTATGAATATTTACCTGGCACTTAAGAAGAAACAAATTTTATTATCTTTCAAAAGACACAGAAATACAGCAAATGCACGTGTTGAAAGCCGCTTGCTTCTAATAAATAATTAAAGAAATAAATAAGCGAATTCCAAAAGTTCAGGGAGGGTAGAAATGCTTCAGGAAGCGCAGGGACTCACAAACCAGGTGTAGGAGATTTGAAAACATGGCCCAGCTGTGGAAGCCCGATCACCGCTACTCAAGTTTGTTACTTTTCCCTGTTTTCTGTTGTTCTGGCTGTAAAGCAGTTCGTGAGACAGAGAACGGGAGGAGGAAAAAAAAAATCCACTTTCTTAGTAAGTGTAAAGTTTTACTGTTTGCCAGGCTGGCTTTCCGGCCGCCTGCGCTCCACTCCCTGCACTCTGACTGTTTCAAGTTTCCCCGGAGCGCCCCCAAAGGCGCAGCCCCGGCTTACCTGCTCCCTGGGTATGCAGGGCAGGGAGGTCCTCCTATGCGACTTGCCGCTGCTGCAGCCGGACATCTCGCCGGCCACCACGGAGCTGGACCGCCTCCTCCTCTTCCACCCCGCCGGAATCTCTTCCCTGCACCTCGTGCTCAGCTGGGACCCAGACCGCTCCCTGGGCGGAGCCGGCCCGGAGCACTGCGGCAGGATCTGCTCGGCGTACCTGGCCAGCAGCAGCCCCAGCGCGGCCGCCAAGTATGCCAGGTAAGGTCTCCAGGCGACCTTGAACCTCTCCAGAGAAACCAGGGCCACCGTCCTAAGCGCGCTAGTCAAGGCGACCATGAGGACGCCCAGCCTCAGCCTCAGCACCAGCCATGTCGCGCCCCCTAGGCAGCTGAGCAGGACCCCCACGGCGGGCAGGGACAGCAGGCGACCGTCCCCTACGCCCAAGGAGAGCTGCACCAGCGCTTCCCCGGCGCAGCAGGCGGCCAGCAGCGCGACGGCCAGAGGCAGGCGCACCCCGGCGCGCAGCAGGCACAAGCCCATCCAGAAGAAGGCGCACAGGAGACTGAAGAGCAGCGCGGCCGCCTGCAGCCAAGGGCTGAGCTGCGCGCCGCCCCCGGGAGCACCTCCCCGAGGGCCCGGGAAGACGCCCCCTCGGGCTCCTTCCTCCTCCTCCTCCTCCTCGGCCGCCGCCTCCTGACTCGACTCCAGCTCGCCTCGGACCTCCCCGCCGACCAGCCTTACCAGCAAGGCCAGCAGCACCGACAGGGAGCCCGCGCACAGCGCCGAGGAGAGTTGCGGCGAGCGCCGGAGCGGCTGCAGCACTGGGGCTCCCCAACAGCCGCGGCCGCCGGAGCCCCGCCGGGATGGAGGGGACGCGCCACGGAGGTGGTGGTCCCCGCTGGCCACCCGGACGGGACTCGCCCCTTCGAGGCCCAGCTTGGCCGGCTCTTGGGCGGCCTCGCCCGGCACTGCCATGCTGTGCGCCCAGTGGGCAATCCCCACCCGTCCCACTCGCGGGTCTGCTCCCTTCTGGATCCCACTCGCGGAATCCCTTTTCCTTGATCTGCGCGAAGTTTCAGCCTTGCAGAGAACTCAAGATTGCGAGCTGAAGACTTCTTCAAGTTGGCAGCTAGCAGGATCAGCCTTGGACTTTTTCTGCCCCCCCCCCTTCCTTTCTCTCAAAAAATCCTCCCCTCCACCCTCAGCTCCAGCTTATACCCTCGGGGTCTCTTCCTACTTCGGGATTTTAACAATTGTCCAACGCACGGGGTGCTCAGGAAAGGCTGATGCCCCAGCAGCCTGGGGCACAGGGCGAACTCCAGCCATCCCTGGGCTGCTAAGCGCCAGCAGGCAGCCGACCTCCGCTTCCCCCTTCCCTCCCTTCCCCCCTCCCCCCCTCTCTCCCTCTCCCTCCCTCCCTCCCTCCCTCCCCCTCTCTCTCTCCCTCCCTCCCTTTCCTTTCCCCCTTCTCCCCCTCCCTCTTTCCCCTCCTCTTCCCCTTTCTTTCTTTCCGTTCCTCTTCCACTCTGCCACTTTATCTCTCCCGGTAGCTCTCCTTCCACTACTCTCTCCCTCTCTCCTTGGCCGATCTTCCCCCGCGCTGCCCAGGGACGCAGACCTCGTTTTGCAGAGGTAAGAAGCAGAGCCTCCCAGACTCTCTGTGTCCAGTTCATGGAAAAACGTGTGTGTGTGTGTGTGTGTGTGTGTGTGTGTGTGTGTGTGTGTGTGTTGGGAGCATAGAAAAGGAAGTTGAGACCTATTCTAGAAGTTGCTAAGTTTCACCCAATGGACTGGGCCTGAGATAAGGCTGTAGAAGCAGAAAGGAGGAAGGGAGAGCAGAGAGAGCTAATGATGAAGGGGGGTAGAGGGCAAGAGGAAAGTGAGGCTGTTTTCTTTAAAAAAAAAATCATTTTTCTTTCTTTTTGATGCCTGGCAGCTGCTGTTTTTGCAGGTGAGAGACCAGTGGAACTGAGTGCTTAAAACTCTGAAAGAGGCTTCTGCAAGGGCCCACAATTCTGCTTGCTCGCTTTTGAAGGAACTCCCTAGGAAAGCAAGCTCAGGCGCAGGAGGAGCTGCTCAGGGCTGGACCACTCCCTTGGTAGTGAAGGGCCCTCCCAGCAAAAGAGAGGGGAGGGTGGGGTGGAGGTAGTTGTGACAGCCAGAGCTCCATGCTGGGCTGAGGGGTGGAAGCCAGCATTGTTGCTCCTGTCCTTGAAAACAAACAAAAAAAAGGTACTTCTTCGTCTGAATGCTTTAACAGGCAAAGATCTTGAGGGTGAGGATGTTACAGATAGCTGGAAACCCATTTCAATGTCTCTCTCAAACTCTGACTGCTCCAGGTGGAAGGTCTGTTAATAGAGAAGCCACTCCCCACTCCGGTGTCAGTGTTGGGGGAGGGGAGCAGTCACAGGACAACTCCTGGGAGTCATCTCTCTCCTTTCCAGGGCCCAAACTAAGGTCTTTAGGCTTGGTGGCAAACACATGACCTGCTCCCCACTTGAGGTCTCAAATATGTTTTTCTTGTTCTGTCTTGTTTTTCTCAAGTAGAACAATCTCGGAGCTATCTAGTGCACAAAACCATTTTTCAAAAAAGATACCGACAGAAAAAACATATAGAGAAAAGAAAAAAAATGAGGAAGGGATGGAGAGATGTCTCAGCAATTAAGAGCCCTTACTGCTCTTTCAGGGAACTCCAAGAAGGTCCCAGCACCCATATCTGGTGGTTCTGTGACACCTACATTTAACTCCAGCTCCAGGGGAGCCGATGCCCTCTTCTGGACTCCACTGGCGCCTACACTCAAACATGTTCATTCACACATAACTAAAATAAATAAATTAATTAAATTAAAAAAAAAACTTAAAAAAAAAGTAACTTGAAAAATCCATCTGGGAGTGGTGTCAACATGGAATCCCAGGATATAGAAACAGGAAGAATGCTGCAAGTGAGACACCAGCCTGGGACACATTGGGGATACGGGGAGGAAGGAAAAGTGCAACCCCCATCTCCAGTGCACAAGTGTCATTACCCAACAGTTGTTTATTGTGTGTGGTAAATTACACTCTTTGCTGAGCTTCCTTTAAGAACAGTTTCGGAGCTAGGAAGCCCTGCTAGTGAAACACACCCCCAATGAACAAAGCCCGTCCATTATTAATGATTGCATGATCGTACACCACAGAATGTGGCATTTGGAAAACCACGCTCACTTCACTGGCAGTTTGTACAGAAGAATTCTCAGTCTGTTCAGCAGATTCAAATGATGCTGGAGTAAAATAAATGTCAACTCTTGCTCAGCTTATATGGTGACTATTTAGGTGTCATTTGACTCTCACAAATAATAAGAAACTGATTCCATCTCAATTCTCTCAGTGTTCCAGCTTAAAGTGTGTTTATAGCCTTGAGTACTTGGATAATTGCCTCAAAATGCCACTATGTTTTGTATGTAGAGATAAAGCAATAAAATATGCCAAGAGGAGATGACTGAAATAAGTAGATTCATGGGGGCAGTGGGAAATACGGCTTAAGTTGTAGATTTCTTTTTATGGGAAACAGCCTACTGCAGTCCCAGCTGGGCACCCACAAAGCATTAGACATAAGTGAACAGGAGGGGTGTGACCAGACAGCCAGCTCTTCACTGTCGCTGTCACTTGTCCAGAGCTGCACCACTGCCCAGGAGCATGTGTTGGGCAGCTAGGCAGTGGCAGCACCACCATCTGTCTAATAATTAAGAAAACAGGAGAAGCAATGCGTTGGCGGAAGACAAATGAGCCCCCTAGTATGCGCACACACTTCCATGAGTTTCCCAACTACCCATGATTCATAAGCCAGAACCAGTGAAAAACCTGCTGCCTCTTGACATGGGAAAAGCATATTAAATCAAGAAGCTGGGCATATGTTGTTAAGCTTGGGGTTGGGGGAGCAGAGTGGAGGATAAAAAAAAAATATTTCCATTTTCTCTGTCTTCAACCCACACCCATCTTAGTTTGGGGGAAAAATAATGACATATGATCATCAAAACAGAGCTCTTACGAGATTGAGAGTGGACATTGTTTGAAAGCTGACATAGATGGACTGGTGAGATCTCAGCAGGTAAAGACACTTGCTGTGCAAAGCCCCAGTGACTTGAACCACATAAAGGAACCACATAAAGAGGAAAAGAGAGACCCAACTCTACAGAGTTGTTTCTGATTGCCACACATGCACATGGCAGATGAATACATATACACATGCAAATCTCTTTCACACACAATAATAATTACTACTACTAATAAAGTGTTATAGTTAAACACATTGTCACCAACAGTAGCAAAACATCACTGGCTCTGTGTGTTGATGGCATCTTGGCGCTGGTCAATAGTGTAAAAGAAACAATGTCCTGGCACCTGGCCTTCTCCCTATTTTTAACAAAAATCACAATCAGAAAGTTATCTGCCCCACCAAAAGAATAGAAGGTCCATTTTTTTCTGCTATTACCATTCAGAAACCCAAGGAAAGTGAAAAAACCAGCCAGATGCTCTTGTTTGAGACCAACAGACAGACAGCTGCAGGGACAGACAGGATGAAGTAAAAGAAGTCGAAAAGCAATTATCAGAACAGTAAGTTAAAATACACAGGCTACAGTATATCCGACAGGTTTGAAGCAGCCAGATAAAACACTGCCCTTTGAGGCAGGCAGTGGCCAGTCCTGATCCAGGAAAGTGAGCACAGCCAATGGACAAGATAAAAGGTTATCCACATGTAGATAATAGGAGAAAATGTCAGAAAGCCTTCCACTCACCCAGGTCCAACCAGTGTGCTTTGATTAGTTCTTTGTGAAAAGCCCTTGCACTTTGCCAAATATAGTTAAACGTAAAGGTATTCCCCTGTAATGTCTCAACAGTTTTCACTCCCCAGTATGGCTTCATTTGTTCTGTCTTATCTCACTGACCTCCATGCATTTCAATGAGTTAACGATGAGTGCCTAAAATAAGGTGCCTGAGTGTCCAGCCCCCTTCCTCACCACTCTTCCACCTACAGTACTCACTCTCTCCTCCATCTTCTCTCATCCCTGGAAAGAACAATATCTACCCAGCTGCCCGAGTCCACAAAGGAGTCACTGCCCTTGCCTCTTCTTTGATTAGCTTACAACACTTTCCATCTATTAACAAAAGCACTTGCTTCCATCTCTAAAAGACAACCTGAATCAACCAATCTCTCTCTCTTTCTCTCTCTCTCTCCCTCTCTCCCTCTCTGCATCAATTTACAGCAACCAAACAAAAGTTCATCATCATCTCTGGCTTAGACAGATGCAGTAACTAACTGGTCTTGCCTTCCTTTTTATAGTTCATTTTCTATGGAACAGAATGATAGTTCAAATGTATGAATTGAATGATGGTGTCTCTCCTGCTTAAAACCATGCACGATTCTTCACTGCACTGCAGACTCCAAAAGCCCCTAGACAAGCTACAAAGTCCTCCAAGATCTTCCAAGCAGCTCTCTGACCTCTTCCTGTTTTAGCAGTCCTACTGTGCTTCTGCTGCCCCAACTGTTTCAATGCTCTCCATTCACAAAGTGGACTCCATGCTGTCCACTACTCTAGACAGTAACTGCAAAGGCTTACCACAGAGGAGCAGAAAGGCTAAATGTTAATTATTTAAAATGTAATAGATTTGTTGACTGGTGGCTCCAGGTGTTGCTTTTAACAAAATCTCAATCATTCCATTTTACCAATAAAGACTGGTACCAAAGTGGGGTGAAAGCCTGTTAGCTCAGAGAGGCAGAGAAAGCAACCAGCTGACCTTTCTTTTCAGTAAACGACTCCCTTTCTCCATGTCCTCTCAACACCCCTCAAACTCAATATCCCTCCCTTCTACTTCCTATGTGTCTCTCTATGTGTCTTCCTGACTTCCTCTTACTCTCTATAGTTTTTCTCTATGTTCACTCCCTGCCATCTGGTTGCTTGTTTCATCTCTTGACCTATGGTTGACTTTATTTAATCTTATCTTGGATTAAAGGTGTGTGCTAGGGTTGAGCCACACCACAGCTAGAAAAACGGCTTTTTTCAGCAAATAATGTAATCTCAAGGTTCACAGTATGATCTGATATCTTGCAACATTCAAACATGAAAACTATGTGTTTCATAGCTCCAGCCATGCTTGTAGTCTTCCATACCTACTAAAATGACAGGGATTTGGTAGCTAAAGGTTTTCCCGTGCTGGCTCCTTCTGCATCAGTTCTGGCTACAAGCTTTATTTTTTTGTTCTCTAAGAAAGGTTGGTTCTAGACAGCTGTGACAATAATATACCTGGCAAAAGCAACTAAAGGGAGAAGGATTTTTGTAAAAGCAACTTTTATTTGCCTGATTTGTCATCTCCGAGAGTTACTGCCTCTGTCTGCTAACCTAGGACTAACCTAGCCTGGAAGCTTCTAGCCTCCATACAATCTAATCTAGGCCTAGAAATTTTTCAGTCACCAAGACTCTTACTGCAGAATAAATTCACCCTTTCTAGTTTTGTCTGAACTCTGACTGGCTGGTTCAACTCAGCTGTTCTGGCTCAAGCTCCTCTTCAAGCTGACTGATTGAAACCGGCTTCTCTTAGCTTCTGGCTAAATTACTCTGCTTGGCCTCATACTAACTTTGGCAATCTGTTCTAATCTGGCACCTTCTCATTCTCTGGCTCATCTGTCTTCACCCATGTCTAGCTTGTTCTCTCTTCAACCTGTCTCTGTAAACTCTCCACGCAAAAATGCCCCTGACTTCCACAAACTGAACTGCCACAAATTCAACTCCACTGCACTGCCTCTCAACTCACTGACTCAACTGAACTACCTGAACAGAACTGACTAGAACTCAGAGCTCTGCAAGCCTTGGTCTCCTAGGTGCTGGGATTAAAGGTGTGTATCACTAGGCCTAGACCAATGCTTTTCTTTACTGGAAATTTGCTCTATACTAGCCTGGCCTAGAACTCAGAAATCTGCTTGCCTCTGTCTCCTGGGACTAAAAATATGCCTGTATTCCAGCCAGATCATACAGACCTAGAAGGTCTTTGGATGTGATCTCTGTCCACAGCAGCCATGTTCCGAATTAAAATCCCTCTACGGAAGTTTATTTTGACTCACAGTTTGAGGTGGTGCACTTTGTCATGATGGGAAAAACATGTCTACAAGAAGGGCTCAAACTGTGGTGAAAAAAGTGTGAGATGGATGGTGATGAGATGGATGCCATAATCATGACCTGGGAAAGATAAGTGCAGATGCTCAACTGGTTTTTCCCTTTTATATTTAGGCTGGGACCCAGGCCTTGGGATGGTACCACGCACATGCTGAGTAGATTTTCCCTTCTCAGAACCTCTTGGAGGTATCCTCACACACACACACAGAGTTTACCCTCCTACGTGATTCCAGATCCAGTCATGTTGACAGAGAAGATGGCCATAATACTTTTCAAAAAGACATCAGGGTATCCCATGTGCGAGCATATGAGCCATTTAGTATTGCACTGTTTTGTTATATTTGTACTGATCGTCTCTCTATAAAATGGTTTTCTTCATTTACCTGCTTTCCTGTTTATTGTTTGTTCTTAGTTACTAGAGCATAGGGAGACTTTGCTCTGAACCTCCAAATACCAGACAAGCAAATGGCACACAGTAGAAACTCACTTAATCTTCCAATACACAAGTGTTTGATGAATAAAAGTACAGTGGAATTACAGGAGAAAAAGAAACTCAAATATCCAATGTTAAAAGGTCCCATGTTAAAGACCATTCATGGGTGTTTACACATTTACGTATAAACTACATGTTTAAGTTAATTGTTTGCATGGGCAGATGCCTCTAAATTTTTTCTTGAAAATTCTGTTCTGATGAGTATACTCATGGGTAAAATCATGCAAACAGCACTTCCCAGAAAGCTGCTTTAAAAATATGTATTGCTCTCCTAAATTACTCATCTCTTAGAGAAATAAACATTAGCCAAAGTTTTAAACACTTATATATGGACTACCCATAGTCTTTTTTTTTTATTATAGGAATGGGGATGGGTGAATAAAATATACTTGCTACCTTTGGGTAGCAAGTAAACTGGAAAATTCAGAAATAGATTTTTTAATATAAATGACTGTAAAGCCTTATTTCACATTGTTTTCTGCTGTTGTGGGAACTGAATTTAACAGACATAACTGTTTTGTTAAGATAGGTCTTACTAATATGTCCAAATACAGTGAGGAAGAAACCACAGAATGCTTGCATCTGGGGATTCACTACTGGCTTTCCAGGCAGAGCTGTTCCTCCAGTTTCCAAACAATGTAAGTAATGATTTTGTGTATGCAGCTATTAATAAGCTCAAAACCCTACAGCAGGAAAGCAAGCTGTGAGAGCTAGCATGGACCTAGTCAGGGTTACAGGCAACTACATCCAACCACGGGCATACCACTGGACACTGCTTGTTCTGTGCCCTGGAAACAACCTGCGGGCTGAAGCTCTTATGAATTGTAAAGGACACTAGTGCAATGGTCTCAGAGCTCCCCAATCTTGACCACTTTGTGGCACATGCAGAATATTATAATATTTTTAAGTGAATTTGACCTTATGATTTTATTGTCATCCTGACAAAGTTGTCTTAGACACATGACCCTTCTCTTCTTCTTGCCTCCCAGTTCAAAATGTTTCTGTCTCTTAACAGAAAGTCTCATGAAGCTGGAGGAAAGCTCGGAAGTCTCATCAATAATGCCAATAACCTCAGTACCTCTTTCCTCTGGATTTGCATGTATTGTAATTCTCAAAAAGAACTGAAGTCTTGTGTAATAATATAAATAAATAATATGCATGTTGTTATCGTCTCCAAAGTAATGGTAAATTGTTTGGTTTTGTGAACAGCTTGATTTTAATTTATTCTTGTCCTAACTAATAGGAAAGAAAGATAATAAAACATATAAGTGTTGGTAAGACCTTTGAAAGTGTTTATAATGCTAGCTTAAATAGTTGTATCCAACTGTCTTAGTCCTCTTTGCCTTAACAACAGCCACAGGGTAAATTTAAAAAATTTTTTAACTAATTATTTATTACAATTTATTCACTTTGTATCCCTGCTGTGGCCCCTCCCTTATCTCTTCCCAATCCCTCCCTCTTCTCCTCCTATGCCCCTCCGTTAGTCAACTGATGACTGATATTGAAGGTCCTCCTCCCCTTCTATCTGACCCTAGCCTATCAAGTCCCATCAGGGAACAGGACAGGAGCCTACCGCAGAGGGCCTCTGAAAGACTCTACTGATCAGAGGTATCAAAGCAGAGGCTGAGACTCATAGATAAACTTTGGGCAGAATGCATGGAATTTTATGAAAGAAGGGGGAGAAAGAAAGACCTGGAGGGGACTAGAGCTTCAAAAATAGACCAACAGAACAAAACAAAACAAACAAACAAACAAAACAATAAAAAAAAAAACTGGGCCCTGGGGGCCCTGCAGAGACTGATACCCCAACCGTGCATGCAAGGACCATGCATGGAGAGGACCTAAAACCCCACTCAGATGTAGCTCATAGACTCAGTATCCAAGTGGGGTCCTTAATAAGGGAAGCAGTGGCTGGCTCTCTGATCACCTCCCCCTGGGGGGTGTAGCCTTGCCAGGCCACAGAGTTGGCCAAGGCCACAGGGTAAGTTTTACTGAATCTGCATCTGGTGATTGGGACTCTCACATCTCAGACACATCGTGGATCAGTATTTTCACTTTAAATGTGAGTGAATGGTAGCAGCAGGAGGCACTTCAGGGTGACTAACCTGGTTTCTGCCATGTGATAATTAACCTTAAAATAATCCTAATTTCAAAATGTAAGCAATAGGAGGACAAAGGCCTAATTTTAAAAGGACTTGGTCTTCTGTCTTCTTTTATGAGGCTATTAATTTTGACCATCTTTCTCCATATACTCTGGATACACCATATTAGAATGTTCAAACTTAAGAATGATTTTTCTTTTTTCAGCTAGAACATATTTATTTAGACAAATGTGTGGGTTAAACTTACCTATAACTGCCTTCTTTTGTCTTTCAACAATACTACTGAAATTTAAAGTAGGTTTTACTTCATCTACAAGGGTTCTAATAGCATTCACACTGTTACTTTTATGCACATGACAGTAGGAAGCAATCTCTTTCTCAAGTAACCAAGATACATGCTATTGAAGGCACAGGGGCATCTTTGGTCTATAACTTTAATTCTCTCCTGCATTTGAAATCTACCCATGTTCCTAAACGTTAATGGGATGCTTTGAACTAACTTTTCTTTTAGGGGGAAATTCTATAGACAGGCAAATGTGTATAATTAAACAATGATGGGAAGGGAGGGAAAAAGAAAGACAACACAGTTTATATACTGAATATGTACTCCGAGTGGTCCATCCGCTGCTTACTTCCTTCACAGCACTCTAAGGAGAAAGCATATTCAAAATTAGAAGGTAATTATGGAGTAGATGCAAAAACCATAAGAACGTATTTCAGAATTCTGGAAACATCACAGTGTAATATCTATACTGTGCTTGGCAACTTTAAAAGTCATTTTGTATTTCTAGTCCTAATTAATTTCCACAAAGGATGTGATGCCAGTGACAATTTTATTATCATCATTATTTCATATGAAAGGAAACCAAGATACAGGGAGAATTCAGATTCACGTAGGCTGGTGAAGCAGCAAAGACATAAGAACTCAAATCTGATTCTTGTTCTCCGACTGCTCATTAACTCAGGTAATGTATCCGCAGTAACCTCCTGACCAAAGGGGGAACACCTGTCTCTCACTGACGTCTGCAATCGCAGCTAAGAGTCCAAGTACCACAGTATGTCTTTCACCTAACCAAAACCCTTACAGCTTGAAATTTCCCAAAGGGGGAAATCTCACCTCTTTTGTTTTTCCTATCTGCCAATTTTTTTTTTTTTTAAGATTTGCGTGTATGTGCACGTGCGCGCACACACACATACACACACACACACACACACAATTTTATGTGCACCATGTGAATGAAGATGCCTGTGGAGGCCCGAAGAGAGCACTAGATCCCTTAGAACTGGTTAAGGAATTTTGGAGCTTCTATATAGGTGCTAGGAAGAAAGCTCGGATCTTCTGCAAGAGCACTAAGTGCCTCTTGATCCATGACGCATCTCTCCAGTCCCTACCTTTGTTTTTTTTTTTTTTTTTTTTTTTACTAACCAAGATCTAATTCTGGGCCTGCAAGATGGCTCAGCCAGTAAAGGTGCTTGCTGCACATCTGAAGACCTTAGTCCACTTCTTGACTGCCACATGATGAAGAGAACAAATTTACACATGTCTCCTGACTGCCACAAGTGTAATCTGATGCACACACAAACGCTCACACAAAAACACCTACATACAGCCAGCTACACAAACCCACACATACAAGCACACTCCTACACACACACATATATACGAACAAGCGCATAACATGCACACACAGGCACACATACAAACACACACACACATAAACCCACACATGTACACACACACAGAAACACATATACATATGCATGCACACAAACACACACCACACAGAACTTACACACAGTGAAGCTCACCCCTGTGAGGTAGACACTACAGGGTGGAGGGCAGAGTCACCAAGTCATGAGGCCATTCCTTGTGTAACTCAGGTCATCTCTGCTAAAACAAACACTACTCATTAGCATAGATTCCTTACTTCAGGCTTCCCAGATCCAGCCAATCACTAATATGATTTCCAAGTCAGTGTGTTTAACTGCTAGGACATTAATCCTTTAGAGTGATAAAATAATAAATATGTGGCTGTTCCTACCTGACTTCTCTCCCTCAGTACCTTTCTAAAATTTAATATTTCAGGAGTGTGCGCATGTGCACACCCATGTGGGAGTATATGGAGGCAAGAAGTTGACGTTGCGGTAGCTTCTTTGGCCTCTTCTCCATTTTACCTTTTGAGACAAGGTCTCCCTTGGATCTGTCGTTCCCCTTTCAGCTAGACCAAGTGATCTGGAAGCTCAGGGATCTACCTCTCCCCATCCTAAGCCCCATACTGGTGTTAGAGACATGTGTGCCCACGTTTGACTTTTATGTGCATGCTGCAGTGTTGGGCTCTTAACCCCGGTCCTAATGCTTGTGCAGCAAGCCCTTTAGGCATTGAACCATGCTCCCAGGTGTGAGTTAACTATTGCTGAGGGTGTGAGAGGTGACACTACTCCCATTCCTCTGCGTGTGAATATCCTACCATCTCAAGACAGCGTGCTGCTGCAGACCATCCACCTGAAAGGCTGGTGAGAACTGAGGGGGTGATTACGTTAGGAAGCCTCCCTTGCTCTGAGGTGAACTGGCCGTGCCTCAAATATGCTTCTCACCCTCACTCTTGGACAGAAGGTGGGACAGTTACTTCCTCCAGCCCACAGCATGCCTGGCGCAATCTTCATGAAAACTCATTGATTTTTTGGACAAAATGATTATTATTTCTTTCCCTTGAAACTCCACATCTGCTTGCCATTCAGCATGACTTTGGCAACTCCAGTCCAATTTTGCTAGTGCAAAACAAACAGACAAAATAACTACTGTTTTCTGTTTCTTTTTCACTATGTGTTTCTTTCTTGGTTTTTCTTCTATTACATCCTGATTACAGTTTTCCATCCTCTTACTCCTTCCACCTCCCCTCATATCTGGATCTACCCCCTTTCTGTCTCTCATTAAAAAACAAACAAGTTTATAAGGGATAATAATATAATAATATAAGATATAATATGAATATAGTAAGATAAAAAAGAAAAACTACAAAAACTAATACATCAGAATATGACAAAGCTAATAAAGAGAAGGAAAAGAGCCCAAAAGAAGCACAAGCAACAGATACAGAGATTTATTTGCATACTCAAAAATCCCATAAAAACACTGAACTGAAAGCCATGGTATATACCCAAAGGACTTATAGGGTATAAAAGAAAGAAAAGTAATAAATATATATATATATATATATACATGTATGTATTTTCCTTTTCATTTTATTTCACATGTTTATATTTATATTAACAGAACTGGAAACTACATCTTCAGTGTTCTCCAGGACTATCTATGTTGTTATTGATTGTATAGTTCATTACGACTGCCTAAAACTTTAAAAAATAGATTTCAGGAAAAGATAGCTGTCTCATTTTGTTTTAAGAAATAAAAAAAAAAAAAAGCAAGAGTCCCATTTATGAGGCAGAATTTCTGGTGTCTTAGATGTTTAAAAGCATATTTAAATATTTTGTGTGTTGTACAGAAGTTTTTCTTTAAAAGCAACACTTGCAAGTATTTAAATATGCTATTATTGTTTTCTTTCAAGCATGATGTATTGATATAGTTCAAGTGAAATACAGGAGCTTAGGAAAACAGAGAAAGTGTCCTGGTCGGGTAAATGGGCAGAAATAGACACCAGCTTTTTAATTGTTCCATGTAAGGGCAAGCCTGAGTCCAGTCGACACTGGGTTCCTTGGATTCCTTGAGTCCATGTCACACACTTGTTGCATCTTTACACAACTCTAAGGAGGCTGTCACTTGGAGAACATCCTTCACCCCAAGGATGTGGTCTCACAGGATCTAGGCTGGTTTGTTGTAGTGTCTCCCAATATCTTGCCTGTCTCTAAACATCAGCTTCAAAAGGACCATCTCAGATATGACAATGCCTGATTGACCTTAACATGGTACAAACTAGCTGTTGTGAGAATAGAGTAAAAGTGATAAATACAGCATTTAAAAAAGAATCACCTCCACAAAAAATAGAAAAGCCCATGCTCATAAATTCCCTTGTCTTTTCCTTGAATATTTAACACAGAGAAAGAGAGAACAAAGTGGTGAAGCTGGCTATTTCCCTTCCCCAACATGTAACTCAAACAAGACAGCATTATCTAGGGTCCTAGACTTTACCCTCAACCACTCAGGATGGTAGGGGAGAG